GTCAGCAGAAAGAAGAGACATGGGAGAGTCCTTTCTGATGGCACATGGGGGGGAGAAGGGAGGGTAGGCCTTTATGCATCTGTCTCTGGTAATTGCTGGTTCGTTTATTGCCTGCTGCTTTATGTTTCGTGGAGTCCCAGGAGATCAGTGTGGGGAAGAGGGGGACAGGATTTAAAGCAAGAAGGAATTGCTGCTGTCCTTCAAGCTGACTTCCTGAATTATTCAAGATGTGGTGTTTCGCCTTGTAATTCTCACAGAGGGTTATAGCTTCGTAACTGAACCTGCCAACTGTGCAGAGAACCAAGTATCCCCCTCTAGCCTTAAGGCAAAAAAATTCTTTCAGGTCTGTGCTGCACACAGTAGGTTTTGTGAGATATGAAATACAGCTCTGGTTTTACCCTGCAAAGCTGTGAGCTTCCCATCTTTATAAATTTTTATTTTACAGTAGTACTGGGCTATAGGGAGCCATAACTGGCCAGCTCTGTGACAAAGTTGTGTAATTCATGTTTTTCCACCAGGACATCCAAGGTGCAGGAGTTTCTTGTATGTAGCTGTTGCCTTTAAATGAAATTACTTATTTCATAATTGCAGGTAGGCATTGCTATGCTTTTAAAAAGGAAGATGGCTTTGGCTGCTGGAACAAAAGGGAATTTAAATTACATTGGGAATTAAAGCAAACTATCCCCCACCACTCTCTTCCCCAATGCTTGGTAATACTAGATGAGGCTTGATTATAATTATAGTGTCATGAGTGTTAAAGCTTTCTAATGCACATAATGATTCTTTAAAAATGACCTCCTGCACATGGAGATTTATCAAGTTATTATCATTGATGTATGTCTAGATTAATCAATCATAAACAGAGCTTCATGGGGGATGAGGAAACTCTCTGAATTGAATGTTCTCCTGAGACTCAAAACTGGACAGGGTGACTGAGTTTCTGTGACTTAGTGATGCAGTGTCTGTGGTTTGATCCTGGGTGAGTGATGCTCAGCACAGGGGTGGCTGTACAGCCCCTCATTGGGAGTGAGTGTAGATGAACTTTCCATTCTCCCCAATAGGAGTATTCTTCCCAAAAGGATCACAAACTGCCTGCCTGTTTCTTGGACTTGCTGCTTGCTCCTGCACCAGCCAGGCACAGCAGCTGTGCCATGGAGGAGGTTTGCTGGGCTCTCTGAAACCACTCGTTTTGACAGACTGAGGCCCTTTCCCTGGTCTCAGGGTTAGTGTTCACTGCTGCAGTGTGACCACTTGAACAGCTTCCACACTGCAGGGGCCATGCAGAAATTTTGGTAATTAAATGTTGTAGAGGTAAAAAATTGTGATTGTGAGAAAGACTTCTGTGAACAATAAACTATGTCTGTCACTGAACACTGTTGCAATTTCTAGCATTTACTGGGAACATCCAGTGCCACAGAAAAATATTAATTCTCCTTTTTTCCCCTCCAATTATCATCATCACTGCAAGGAGCACTGTTTACAGTTCTGTTTTCATCTTTAGAACTGATAGCTCTCTTGTTTAACAACTGTAGGGAAATCTGGGGCAGTCCCATTTTGCTTAGTGACACTCAGCACTAAATGTTGCAATGAAATCCCAGTTCTCCTGAAATCAATAGAACATTTTTGCTGATATCAGAAGAGGCAATGTGTGTCTGTGGATGCTTTCAGGTTTTTCCTGGAAAAGCCAAAATAAGGCTAATCTGATATCAACTGATGTAATTTAAATGGAATAATTACTATACAGTGGTTCTGAGATCCCTGAGCAGATAAGATCATCTTGTAAAGAAAGGGATGCACAAGGCAGTGTCAGACTGCTCCACAGACATTATGATCCTGGCCACAAGTCAGGAGATGCTTAATTGTGTTTAACTTCTGAGCTCACTAACAGCTTCTGTGAGTTCAGGAAGAGGATTTGCATGCCTAATCTTCAGAAAGTGCTGAAATTCCCAAACCATGCCTAAATTAAGATCTAATACACAGACAGCCACTCTTGAATTTTAGTTTTCTCTGCCTGGCAGCCCTGACCTTCTGCAAGCCTGTGGAGGGCTGATAATTTGTTTTTGTAGATAGTCCCAGTGAGTTCAGTTAATCTAGCAATGATGATGGCTTCAAAATTCAATATACAGAAGATCCTTAAACTGTATGGACTGTGCTTCCCTACTTCTGGGAGTTTAAAGAGGCAGAATGCTGTTAAGAGGAACACTATGTGTGACTGTAAAATGTAACTACAGCACAGTAAACCTTTATCACTTATTAACATATCGAGAAAACCAGAGCAGAATGGAGGATCTGGTAGACCCTTTCAGAAGTGTCTGGGGCACGCTGGGGTATGTGAGGCTCTTCTCTGCATTGCACCTTTCCAGCTCTCAGGAGTCACCTGCTCCTGCCTGGGGAGGCAGAGGCAAAGCAGTGGGTGGAGAGAAGATGGATGCTCTCTTCCATAGAGAGCTTTTTTCATTTTTTTTTCTTTGATTTCTTCTTGTTTTTATTTTTGCTTAGATCAGTGTTGAGATCAAAGGCATTCCGATGGGACTGACAAACAACTTTTTTTTTTTTTTTTCTGTGGGAAAGAAGAAAGAGAAATCCAGTAAGTTATTTTGCACAACTTTCTACTATATCAGCCATGTTAATTGAGTTTACTTCTGTGATTAAACTAAAATGGATGTTGATCATATTTTTGGACAGGCTTTTGGCTCCTGCCCTGTGAAAGCTGCCTCCTTCAAGTGAGAGTTCAGTCTTTCGAGCTCTTCACCAGGCAGCATCTTCTAAGCAGTCTCACCTATGACTGGATCAAGCTGTTTGCCATTATTTTTGCTCTGTCACTCCCTGGAAACCCACTTGCTGATTCTCTGGTCATATCACTGTGCCTCGGAAAAACTCACCAAATATGAGTTGGTGAAGAAACCACCAGCAAGTGTCTGGAAAGGAATATATTGATTAATTCCTTCTTGGGGTGATAGTAGTAGGAATGAGCCACAGATGCCTTTAGAGGATCTGTTCCATTGCTGACCAGTGTGCTTTGAACAGTGGGGTCCTTTCAGCTGTGTCTCTCCCCACATATGTTTTATCCATTTTCTTGATTTCCTTCTCTCCTTTCATCTTCCTTTTATATGTCTACCTTATGAGGCAAGTAAGGAGCTCATCACAAGCTCCATGCCTGCAAGGAGACAAGGATGAGTTCTAGTGTTTTGATCATGATAAATAGTCATTCAGTGGCACTGCCAGGCTTTCAGAGGAGGAGAGATCTACAGGCAGAGATTACCATTTCCTTAATGAGAATGTCTGCATAAACCATCATACAGTCCAGCACATAATCCTCCTTTTCCTCTCTAACACTTTGTTTCACTGCAGGAGAGTGCTTTTGAGTAGTTACTCCCAGCATTTACAGAGTTTCCTGATGCCTCCCTGTAGACATGCTGGAGGAAAATTCCAACTGGCAATTCATGCTGGAGAGCAAGCATGGGGCAAGTGTCTATGATGGAGAGGCAAAAATTATCAGAGAGCCTGGATTCAGCAAGATGCCATTTTTCTCCTCTAGGCATTCCTCCATGCACAGCTTGCTGTTTTTGTGGCCTAGTTTTAATGAGAGATTTTTTTACAATATTTGTGAATGTTGACATTTTGCTCTATTTTTTTTTCTTCTTTGGGTTTGAGCTGAGCACGCACTGGAGTGAGGAAGCTCAAGGGTGTCAGAGTCAGTTCTACTGATAACAGGTATCATGTCTGCTTTATAAATGCCCAAAGATGGTTAAGTGTTTCTTTCCCCTATTATTTCTATTGAAAAGTAATTTCTGCCTCATCCTTCTGGTCATAGAAACATAATTCCCAGTACAAATTTGCTCATGGCCTTTTTATTCTCTTTGGTTATTTCTAGTCACTGATCTTAACTAGCTATTTTTCTTCTTTGGTGTTTGCTTTTTAGCTATTTCTGGATTGCAGTGATGACCCTTCTTACCCTCTGCTTGGTTAAGCTAAAAAAAGCTGGCTACTCTGGTCTCTGACAGGAATGTGCCTTATTCTGATTATCCTACCAGTCTTCGTCGGACTCTGGCTTTTTTTTTTTTTTACAATATACACATACTGAAGATCACTATGTGTGTGCTGAAAGAGACACCCACAACACCCTCTGTGTCCTGGCTGGTTCCCCCAGGTTCTGACTGTTTTAAATGGCTTTGCTCATCACAAGAGTCACATGTGATTTTCAGTAAATACATGGTTTTGTTTCTTAAACCGAAGCCCCCCACCACCATTCACTGAATGCAAAAGCAAATTCTTGCCTGTGCAGACTAAGGAATGGTGTGGAATTCTTTAGTGAGTTTGAGGATGGAATTTTTGCTGGGACAGTCCAGGTGATGAATGTATTTAAACAGTTAGATTGCCTTGTTCTGTGGGAGCAGGACAGTTATTGCCATCAGTCCTTTACACTTGTCTGCTCTACTTGACATTTCAGTCTCTGCTTCTCTAGGCAGGATCCTGTTTTGTAGTAATGAATACAGCATTTAAATACAGTAGTTATGGGGTTGTGTCTGAACTCTCTGCTTATTTGCAAATCACTGCAGAAGTTCCCAAACCCAATGCAATAAAGTCCATATCAGAGTAAGTTTTGCCAGGCAGCCCAGGTGCTGCACAGGGTGACCACTGTGAGCCTGATGAACTGAGGTCTCAGAAAATCAGTCCCTAGTCTGCAAAAATCAGTGTGTAGAGTTATTGTGCCATCTGAAAGTATGGGACCTGGAGGTAGGAACTAAGAGCTTCAATGTAGTTGTAACCATAGGTCAAAATTTCAGTCAGGGTAACAGAGGAATTGATGGTACTATGTGGCTTTCTGCCAGCTGTACATTGGGCCTAATATTTGTTTTCTCAAGTAAAAGGGTCCAGGCAGTCAGGCAGCCTGCCTGGAGAACAAAGGAGCAAAACAGATTTTAATTGCCCAATGGGCATTCTTTCAGCACAGATCTGTGTTTATATGCCAGAATAATTTGGGTTTGTGTCTGACACAGGAGATCCAACTTGTGGAGGGACTTCAGTCTGGGTTGTTATTCTTGGAGGACTGGGGAAATGAGGGCATATCCTCCCCGCCTTTAGACCATGCACCTGAAGACATCTTTCAGGTAGGAGTTGTTTTCTGTTGGTGGCCAGAATGGTGAATGATGTGCAAGCTCTCTTTAAAGTAACGTGAGAAGGGAGGAGAGAGAGACAAGGGACATAAAGGTCCTGAAGGGCTTTCTTCAGCCTGGCTTCATTTGGAGGTGACACTTCATATGTCAATTTAAATTAAGCCATTTAAAAGAGCACCCACCCCAGAGCCTCTGATGTACTCTAAAGACAGCAAGCGTGGGGCACATTGGGTGACTGATATAGTTGAGGACAGAAAGGGAGGGAGCAGCAGAAGGAGCTGAGATGAAGCATTTCATGGCAGGGCTGCTTTGTCCCCTGCATGTGTGATTACAGGCTGTAGTTCACCCCTGTTTTCTTTATCAGATGTCTGGGCCTTGTGTTGTGCTGTGTTAAGTCCAGGTATCTCATACCTATGTCATGGTTTTCTGCAACCCTTCTGATCTGAGTAAGGTTTAAATAGGAGTCTTGTCTGGGTGTTGAACAGTTAATGTTCCAGAAAGCTAACACCTGCATCTGCAGCCTTGTCCCCTCCTATGCAGCTGAATAGCATTTCATGATGGCAGGGAAATAATTCTGTACAGCCAGACCCTGCTCTGTGGGCAGTGAATAAGCTGAAGTGAAGTAGAGGTCATTCATGTTAATCTGAAGCAAATAGGATTGTGGGACTGAGGGAAGAGGGTGAACCCCCTTTTATGTACAAATTCTATAGCTCAGAGGCTTAGGAAACACATAATAGTAAACATTTGCAAAGAATCCATAACCTTTTCTGAGAGGAAAGACAAATGGTTTTCCTGCTTCATTTTGAGCAGGTCTTGCATTTTGGTATGTATGCAAATCATGCTGGGTGGCAGTGTCTCATACAAATCAGCTTGAAATGCAGAGGCAGCCATGCAAGCAAAATGGCTTGTCTTTCCCTGCAGCTGCAGTGAGACTTCTAGCACAGGAGAACTAGGCAGGGAGAGCCCGATTTGTAAGGAAGCATCAGGAAGAGAAGAAAACCAGAAATCCTCCTAAAATGCTGTCCCACTAACAGAAAGCTTTGTGTCCATGCTACAGTGCTGCCCTGTGTTTTTGATGATTTGAGGGGCGTGCAGCAGTGTTTTATTTTTCTTTAGATTTTGGGGTGTCCTTATCCTGACTTCTCAAGGCAAGGAAATATATGATCAATTCATGGCTGTGCAGAACTGGGTAGGTAATGTTTGGGAAGAAGAGATGAACTGCACTTTTTTGATCTCAGGACTGAAATGGGCATGGAAGATAACACAGATGTGAAATATAAGCAGGCACCTTTGCAGGAATTTTGACTGCTCATTGTAAAGACAGTGGGTGAGGGCTGGGCATTACATTGTGCTGCTGCTGTTCCCTGTCCCAGATCCTTTGTGGATCTGTGAATCATGGCTTTTTCACACTGTTGAACAGTAGCTACTGATACACCTGCAAAGAATCATCCTAATTCTAAATCTAATGTGTCTTCAACCCCTTTGCAATATTTCTTTTGTGAGTTGGGTACGCATCAGGCATTTACATGTCCAGGAATGAATCCCCTGTTCACCCCCTCTTATTCCCAGTGCTTTTCCATCAAGTGTATCAGGAGCAAGTATCCAGCAGGGTGGACTGAGGTTGACTTTCTGAGTCTGCAGTGTCTCTTGGTTAACATGGCAACAAGACCAAATGTTATTTAACTTTAATGATAGGTGACAGCAAAACAGAAGAGAAAAGGGAATGGAAGCTGATCAAAGTTCATAAAGACATGTACTTCCTTGGCTCTTTTTTTTTTTTTTTTTTTTTTTTTTTTTTTTTTCCCCAGCTAGACCTTTCTGGAGTTCTGGCTCTTTGACCCTGCTGTGCTGGAGTTGCCCAGCAGTGCTGCTGGGCTGGACTGTGGGGGCTCTGAGCAAGTGTGTGCAGAGCACTGCAGCAAGCAGGAAAAGGGTTGCTTGGCATTACTGGCTTCTTCTCTGTGTAAGTGCAGGCACTCTCTGTGTTCAGGGAGGTGAGCTGTGAGAGAGCAGTGATGTGCCTGCAGCTTCTCACTGTGCCTTGTTGGATTCTTTCCTGTTTGCTCTTTGATCTTTTTTCACACTGAGTACCAGGCAGCATGACTGCAGTGTGATGCTCTGGCTGCAGACCGCATTGTCTTGTTGAAAAATGAATTGCCTCAGAGCCTTTAGTTGATCTCCTGAGCTATTTCCTGTTACAATTAGGAAAGCTGAGATTTCCATGTGATTTTGAAGCTCAGAGTTCTGATGTACAGTGAAATCCTGTCTCTGTGTTCATTCATTACTGCTTCTGATCCCTTCTTTTCTCTTCCATTCTCTCAAATGCTTTTGGAAACCTCATTTTCAATGTACTGTATTGTCTCACTTGAGTTCCCTTCTGTGGGCATCACAGTTCCCTAGGAAATGCAATGCTGGTTTGAAATGTTTGCAGACAAGATAGGGAAAAATACATCTGTAAGTTATTAGGGGCAAGAGTAAAGTCTTTTACCTTAGCAGCTTACAGATGTTTTTTGCCTTTTCATCTGCCAAATATTTACACTTTCCAGCACTGTCTGCATCTGGAGGTTGTGTCTGGACAGGGAATTATGTTGGACATGTAGTCTGGGTGAAGCTGCCTTGGGCATTTCCTGAGTGCTCTGGCTCTGTGGCTCAGCCCTTCTGCACATTTGTATTTGTTTTAGCATTTCACCTCTGGTCACTCTGAACTGATTCTGTAGTGGGAGATGTTGGTATTTTATTTTGTAACAGTTCATCCTGACGTGAATTGCAGGTTTCCATAAGAACCTGGGCTGTCATCTTCCTTTGGTACCTGAACACCTCCTTCCCCCAGCAGTGACAGCCTGTGCTTGTGACACATCTGCCTTTGCACAATGGTGGCAACAGTTGGGTTTTTCCACTGAGTTTCTGATCAGACCTTACTGGAGATTAAGTAAGTTAAAACCAATTTTTTCATTGACCAGACCATTGCCCTCTATAAATGATCTTTTGACAAAACACCCTTTTTTCATTGTGGTAGAGTTGTCCCATTTGTGAGGTGTTGTGTGTGGAGGTCAAATCTTTGGTTAATGCTTCATTTCTGTGGCCTTTAGTAAATTGTGTCCATTCCATTCCTACCATGTTCCTGGCAGAAAGGGAGGAGAGATGCCATAACACAAGTAATGCCCTCATTTTTCCAGCTTCCCTGTGATACACGATTGCCACTTGCTTTTGCAGTTTTTGGCAGAACTAGTCTTTAATTGCAACCCCTAAAAGCATTGCATTTGTTTTGGTTTTAATTACCAAGGTGCAGGAGCTGCTTTCTAGAGGTGCCAAACACCTGGGAACTTCATTTGAAATGGCAAGTGTTTGGTGCTTCTAAAACCAAGTTTACTGTGGAAGGAAGCACTAGGAGGAGGAGTCTTTTATATTTTCATTTCTCTCCCTCTGCCTTGTAGGCATTTGTGTCTAGTGGTGCTTTCCATGAGCGCAGTTGGTGCCATAGTGCAGTCACTGAGTTTCCAGCCCCATCATTGGGCTGTTCCACTCTCTCCATGGTTAGAAGGTGTTTCCTAGCCTGCAGCTTAAACCTATGGACAACCTATACCTGCTGCCAGTGTCATCAAGGAAGAAAGGCAAGATGCAAAGGCTGTGTTTTAATTAGGCTACAATCTAATTAAGTCATGTGTGAAAACAGGCAGACTGCACACTGTGATTTTCTTGCTCATTCCCACCTCTTTGGGGATTTGTTAACAATCTTTCTCTCTGGGAAGAACCGGGAATCCAGGAGTTTTGAGCTCTGTTTCTGGCAATGCTATTGCTTCACTTGTGACTTTGTGCACGTCTGCTTGGATTTTGCTTCTAGGGTTTTACAAACATAGAAGAGAGATCAACACACTTCTTCCACATCTCAGCATTGATTGTGAGCCCTAATTAAGATTTAAAAAGGAAGGGGCTTTAGACTACAGGGTGCTGCAGATGTATATTCCTGTGGGAATATAATTAATAAATAATAGCACATATGGTACAGGAGTTCCCACACTGCATATTCTGTTAGTTTATTTTCATTATTTGTTTACTGCATACAGTCCTTATCAGTCATACTATATATATATCCTTAACTTTTCATTACTGCTTGAGAAAAACCTGGGTAGGAAATACTAATATTTTCCCTCCTAAAGTGCTGATTTAATGGTACTGCGATCCCAGGTAAAGGGAAACTCGTAGAGTGTCCTGGTGTTCTTTGGCTGACAGATCTCAAATTCCAGCTTTCCCATCATGACCCTGGTCACAAGAGAATGGGACAGTTCTGACCTGATAGTCTGACCTGCCATGCAAAATGGATCACAAACTTTTATCCAAAGATTTCTACTTCAAGCTCAATTATTTCTGCTTAGATTAGAGCAGGTCATTTAGACAGACATCCAGTGGGGATGTAGAAACTGTAAGTCACTCATCACAGAGCCACTCTTCCTGGCCCTCAGCACACTCTGTAAGATACCTGGCTTTCTGCATCTTGAGGTTCTCTTTGCAGCTGCAATCCTGAGACACTGAGGTTCCAGAGGGCCAGGCAGTCTTTTGAGGAAGAAGCCAGTACACGTATATGTTGGGTGGACATTTTTTGTGTTGATGTCTTGTTATCCAGATAGTGGAAGCATCACTAAGAATCTCTTGAGGTCTCAAGTGTTTCCTTAACTCTTGTGCTTAACCTTACCAGGGAAACATGTTCATTTTACTTAAATAATTAGTGTAAAAATGGATCTGTCTAATTTATTTCCAGCAGCTGATGAGACCAGAAAGTTTGGGATATTGGAAAAGGCACAGAATTTTTCCCCTGCTGGGAAGGGGACAAGAGCCAACGGTACCTGTTTGCTCTGGATCTGGAGAGCTCCACAGTCCACTTAGTGGCTTTGGAAAGGTTAATGGAGAAGGTGCCAGCAGATGGCACTCATGAATACACAACGTTGTCTCAGGGTTTGAAGGGCCCCAATCACTTCTGGCATGTTTAGCAGGAATGC